AGTTGGTGGCTGTTATTGTTAGAGATTACTAATGACACTGGGCCAACTTCTGTCAAACCTTGTTAAAAAGAGCACTCTCAATATAACAGTCTGCTGATAGCAATTAATCTTTGGTCTCAGCCCCTTATTTGTTGTCTTCATTCCTGATAATAAAAGGTTCTTGTTATGACAAGGTAATCTGCAAAGTCCAACGGACATCTTATTACTGAGGTGCGATTGTATGTTTAAAGCAAAACTTAAACTCAGGTGCCGTCTGTTGAATTCCTCTGGAGCTGATGAAGTAGACAGTAAAGATGTTAAGAAGGAATTAAGAGAAAATATCATAATGGAACTAGTAACTTGAATTTGATTCAGAAATATTAAAAACTGCACGTGTACCCTCAAAAGAATGAAACCCCTCTGTTGATAGATTTTCACATACACTTCCTGTCATCTCTACACTTCAATCCAATTGACCAAACCTTGTTTCTACAGATTTGCCCAACCGTCTGCTGAATTCACTCTTGATGCCTCAACCGGTGTGGTTCTGACGTCTGTCGTCATGGATACTGAGGGCCTGTACCGACTGGAGGTAGAAGCCTATGACTTAGGAACACCCTCCTTGTCAACTAGAGGTAAGGAGCAAATTAGACTGCAGAGCTAGTGTCGTTGAATAAGAACAAAGAGCCCTCCTCTTTTGTGAAAGTGTATCGGTCGTCATGCACATGTAGCCTATTCCTTCCTCCAATGCTCACAAAGTAGTATTCATTTATGAATATTTGAATATCCACTCAGTGGCATAACTGGGGATTATTTTTGCATGGTTGGGGCAGTTGGGGCCCTCCTTTTCAGGAGGGGGGCATTCAGTGGGTTCGGTCAAAGTTAAAACACTACCAAAACTTTTTTTTTTTCCTTCTCAAATTTCTGACGGGAGGTGCCTCCAATGCCCTCCAGTCATGTCAATGCCAGCACAAGAGGTCATCATTCACACAACATTTTTACTGATCTTAATATCTAAAGTGGATTAATGATTGGCTAACAGGAATATGGCCTCTTGTGTTATCACAGTTTGCAGCAATTTTTTGTAAGTTACTGGCTTTTTTCTTTATCCAGGTCTTGTAGAGGTTCATGTTGGAAATGCTGCTGCTGTCAGACTGGAGTTCTTATCGTCGGAGTATGCCGCGTCCGTCCTTGAAGATGAGTCGGCTCACACTCAAATCCTTATCCTGAAAGCTGTTCGGAGTGATGGCAATCCAGCTGGTCAGGTCACGTACTCTATCATTAGCGGCAACGATGACGGAGCATTTGAGATCACCGGCCAGTCAGGTTGGTCCTTTTCATCTTTTTGGCAACAATGACAACATTAGAAATTTGTTTGACTGTGCTGTCATGGCTGTAGCAAAAAGAGAACATGGATAAGTAGTCGGTGTTCTCTCAGTCCAAACAAGAGTTTATTATTAGATGGAAGACTTTCTGAAAACTTATGTGTTTTTATGTAGGCAATGTTTCATTTCAATTTGTCAACAGGTTACTGTAATTTTTTTCTCACATTGCAACACCTACATGGTTACCACTGAACTAAATCAGTGGAATAAAGTTTACAATGGAGTATAAAAAAGGTACAAAAGTGAAGAGTACAGGTTCAGCTTTCTTTTAAAATTGGTGCCAGCATTTCTGTACGACAGGACTCCCATGCGACAAAGAAATGCTCAGTTGATGAGCAGGAAAAACGTGCAGTGATCCCCCCTCTCTCACAGCTGCTTCAGAGATATGACCCAGCTTTCACCGTTAATCACTGTTCCTGGTTGTAAAAGTTGTTCCACTAAAGTTCCTTCTCTTGTCGTATTCTCCTTCTTCAGAAAGCGTTTCATCAATGTAACAAGTAAAAAGCACTGGGAGTATGAAAAAATTGTGATTTATCACAAACTTCCAAGCTTGCCATTCTCCGTTCAGTGTTGCCGTGTACCACAAATTTAAACTCACCTTTCATTGTTTGAATCTCTAGATTCTGGCATTCTGTCTGTTGTGGATTCTTCAACCCTGGACTACGAGACAACACAGCAAGCGCGATTGGTGGTGCAGGCAGAAGCACCCTCTATTGGTGCCGTACCTCTCTACGGATACGCAACTGTACTACTGAACCTGCTGGATGCAAACGATAATATTCCCCGCTTTGTTCAAGATAAATACACAACATCGGTATGGGAGGGACAGGCTGTTGGAATCTATGTCATACAGGTGAGTTACTATGAATAGGTTTTAATACTCGGGGGTTGAGTCACACGGGTGAGTAACTATAAATGAGCTTTGATACTCAGGGTTGCGTCACTCATGTGCAGGTTGGTTTTTGGAGATGTTATTTCCTGTTGAGAGTTTCAGTAGTTAGTTTTTAAGAATTGCATGATGCAATTATTTGCATTATGCAGGAATAAAATACGGAATATGAACAAAGTGTCCTAGCAAAGCTTTGATGGGTTCATGCGTAGTCCAAGTAATTGGAAAAACTTTATCTTTTAGTGCAAACTCTGATTGTCTTTGAAAATTGTTTTACAAGTTAGCAGCCATTTGCTTGTAGAAAATGGTCAAACTTTTCTCCCTTACGTATTTACAGGTATCTGCCAACGATGCTGACCAAGGTGGTAACGGACAGATCACCTACACTATCCGCAGTGGAAACTTTGACAATGCCTTCAATCTTGATCCCGTCACCGGTATTGTGACAACTAATGCTCACCTGGACCGTGAGATCCGAGATAATTACAAGCTGACGATAGCGGCCAGAGACAGTGGCAGCCCACAGCTGATGGGCTCGGCTACACTGAAGATAACAGTTGTAGATGACAATGACAGCAGGCCTCGTTTCCCACCCATGAACCCACTGGTAATCAGCGAAGGTACGTGTTGACTTTGTTACATGAAAAAGAAATTCCTCGTTTTAGTTTTTCGTTCCCAGAGGTGTCAAAATCCTCTGGATTATAGAGGAATTGGTGGATTAAGGAACGTAGAGCCCAACCACCTTACAATGGGCTTCATGCCTGCTGAAGGTTAGAGACTGTTATAGGTTTCCACTAAGCAGATTAAGAGGACTCCTAGCTAAAACGCTAAAGGAGATGGGGCTATGATTTTTACACCAGTCTGTATCTGCGTAATTGGTACACAAATCCGGAGTAAGAGACATACTTTGTAAATGCCCTGAATTTTCTCTGCATTTTCCGTAGCATCTGTAGCGTAACTGAATTGGTGCTTTCATCCTACTCTCTATCCACTTGGAGCGTGAAACAGAGTATCCATTTCTCTAAGCTCCATATACCAATGCTTATCCTGTCTTGATGGATCAGTGAGTATGAAGAGGGATTATCAGTTACCACATCATGCAGCTGGAAAAGGAGATACTGTCAGCCTAGTGGAGAAGGCAGAAGTGCATCTCAGTTGCAGTAACTTAGAGAAAAGATGAAGCCAAGTTTTGAAAGAATGTGGCTCAATGGTATCCCCAATTTTGCAACCACCTCAAAGTCTTACAAACTGTGAATACAGAATGCTTGATATTGAAACTAGTTTTAGAGAATTTATGTTCTTCTTTTTTACATAGCTGCTGAAGTTGGTTACCCTCTGGTAACAGTGACTGCCAATGATGCTGACACCTACCCAACCCTAACCTACCAATTCACAGCTGGTGGTAACCCAGACAACAAGTTTGCCATTGATCAGTTCAGTGGCAGCATTACGTTGGCCGAGCCCCTAGACCGCGAGCAGCGGGATATTTATAGGCTTGAAGTGCAAGCGTCAGATTCCAGGTACACTGATGAGATCACGCTGGTCGTCAGGGTTAGAGATGAGAACGATAATGAACCTCAGTTCAGCCAGCAATCTTACCAGGTACGTGGAGGAATACTGGCTTCATTCTTAAGTACTAGCCTCCATTGATTGTAACATCACAAATGAAGAAAATATTCAAGGAAGTCAATCCTACATTGATGCTTAAAAATGCCTTTATCGGGCTTCATCTGTATTTTTCACAGATGGGTCTGCTGCACTATTTGCTGCACTAATGCGTTATTTATTGGCTGCAGCCGTGTCATCTCAGTAAAAAGCGCTTGGGTGAGCCACCATCGTTAAAACAGGGTTTGCCTGGAAGAGAACCAGTTGTTAACTCAGACAAAAGAGTCGGTACTTTGAAGAGGCAGTTTCTTTGCTCAGTTTTCTTAAATTCATTTATTACATTTATGTTTAACTGATGATTACTGTTCCCCCATGTAGGCGGCATTGTCTGAACTGACTCCATCTGGCTACCCTGTTCTGACTGTCAATGCAACGGATGCTGACATCGAAAACAATGCTCAGATCATCTACAGCATGGGAGTGGCACCTGTGCAGGGATTTGTGATTGATCCTGTGACAGGTGGGTACATTGCAAACTAGCCAGGGAGAAGAAGAGTAGGGAACACTAGACCAGACATCAGCTCACATTGAGAAAGAGTTTATGACTCAAGCCCAGCTTGTTGCTTGCCCCCTATCTGAGAGAAATCTGAATGACATGTACTCTACATCTACTCAGGTGTTACACTATAGCCATGATGAAAGCTGTTTTCCTCCAAATCTCAGTCATTTTAATACCCAGCCAGAATTAAAATACAGCGTGTAAGACAGCATAATACCATATTTTGGTGATGGAAGCAATATCCTTAAGTCCCATCCCTGACTGAAAAAGGCAGGTACCCGATAGCAATATTATAGTTTAGTTTAATTACGTAGAACCCTCCTTGGCAATTCAGAAACCACCTGTCAGGGAACGGAGGTACACTGACCACTGATTTCACCGCTCAGTTGGCAGTAATAGAGTACCGAATTGTGACGTCACTGTGCACCAGAAAGTGCAGTGCAAACGAATGGAGTAGGCGCGCGTGTTGGTTCATGCGCTTGTTCTCGCGCTAATGCCTTGTACACACTAATTGTGCGCGTGACATATTCACTTTGGTACTCTATAATAAAATAAAGCTGTTTCTGTGAAGAAAAGATTCTAAAGTAACTTGTGTGACATAGACCTGTTTAGTTTATTTCAAAGAGGATAGACTCAAACAGAGTGACAGTGAGCAGTGTGTTAGGTATTAAATTGCGCACTGGCAAAACCTGCTCACATGGCCTCAGCTTTTAATCAGGGGCCCACAGGTACTTGACCATGAAGGAAACTGGTACACTACTCATCATGAAACCTTACCTGTTGTGTTTTTTACAGGTGCCATCACAACCAACCAAACCATCAATTTCAATCCGGCCCAGCCCATCATCCAACTTGTCGTCACGGCAACAGATCATGGCATCCCGCCCTTATCCAGCGTCGTAGCCGTCCGTGTCCAGGTGCTAGACATCAACAATAATGCCCCAACTTTTGAATATGCGCTGTACTCTGCATCTGTGGATGAGGACAAATCCATTGGTTGGCTTGTAACCACGGTAACCGCAAAAGACGAAGATCCATCATATCATAACCAGAAGATCGACTACACCATTGTCAGTGGTAATGAAGATGGGAAATTTGAGATCCTCAACGAAGGTGCGACTTATGAGATCATGAATGAAGATGAGAACTTTAAGAGTGGAGACATAGTGTTGATTGATGCACTGGACCGTGAACTCGTAGACAGCTACACGCTGATTGTGGCAGCTACTGACCGTGGACTTCCTCAGCGTAACTCAACAGCAGAGATTGTCATTCGAGTTGTGGATGTTAATGATCACGCACCAAGGTTCAACCAGACCCATTATGTTGGAACAGTCCAGGAGAATGCCACAACCAACACAAGTGTTGTGCAGGTGTTTGCCAGTGACCTTGATGAGGGACGAAATGCAGAGATCCTATTTGATATTAAATCAGGCAACGAAATGGGAATGTTTTCCATAAATGCAACTTCCGGCTTGATCAGCGTTGAAGGGAACCTGGATCACGACACTATACCTGAAGTGAGGATGTCAGTGCGGGCTACCGATCGCAGTGCTGATAACCCACTACATGCTGTGGTGCAAGTGATTATTGAAATCACCGATTACAATGACAACATCCCCTATTTCCCATTCATGATGTATTTGGAACGGGTTGCTGAGAACCAGCCTGCAGGCACTTCCGTGTTTCAGGCTCATGCAATTGATAAGGACACCGGTGAATATGGTCAGCTGACTTACGCCATCATCGAAGGCAGCGGGAAGGATCTCTTTAACATCAACTCAGTCAGTGGTGAGGTTACCACTGTGCGACCTTTTGACTACGAAAAAGAGGAATCGTACCGCCTTCTCATCCGAGCCGTCGATAAAGGTGGGGAATCAGTATCTGTACAAGCCCAAGTTGAGATTACCAGCCAAGATGACTACCAGCCACATTTTGACCAGAAGGAGTACCTGTTTAGTGTGGCCCAGGATGCAGCAGTGGGCACTGTGGTGGGTACAGTACATGCCAGTGATAATGACACAGGCGCAGACGGTGTTGTTTTGTATGCCTTTGAAAGAAGCGGTGAGGAATATGAACATGAGTTCTTTGCCATCAATCAAAGCACAGGGATCATCACCGTGAAGAAACGCCTCAATTCTTCAAGCAGACGGAAGAGGGACTTGCCTGGAGCTATCTACAGGAATCGTCGGCAGATTGCAGAAGGTAAAGACCAGTTTTCATTGATTGTAAAAGCCAGCTCAGGAAAACAAGGATCAAAAGAAGACAGAGTATCCATCACATTGAACATTGGCCCATCGACTACTCCCGGAGGTTATGCAGGCCTGCCCACCACAACCATTCTCGCTATCGTCATTCCCGTCGTCTTTCTTATCATTCTCATCATCATCATCCTGTTCTTCATTGCACGACGGAGGCGACGTGAGAATCGCAAGAAGGATTCCCAACCTCCCCCTTACCAGGCAGGGGAACGCTCACTGTCACCAAGATCCTACGACATTGCCTTTGACAATGTGGAAATGGGCCACAGTGCTATGGTGAATCATGCCATGATCCCAGAGCAGCCGCTCACAGCAGGGGATACCTCCTACAACATCTACCCAGCTCGTAACCTCTACAACATGCATAGGAATAACATGAATAGCTCTATGGAGGTGGGACACCTGACGCGTACAGATATCTCGGAGGGCAACTCGGCTTCCAGTGGGAGAGGTTCAACAACTGTTGAAGACGACGAAATCCGCCGCATCAATGAGCGATCAGTATCCGATGATCACACTGCCAGCGTACGGGACAAGGTCTTAGACTCCGGCATCCAGCAAGATCACGAAGATGGCTTGTCCTTGAGAGATACTGCATCAGATGTGATGGGATCTCCTCGAGAGAAGAACATCAGTTACATGAACAGTGCAAGCGCGGAGAGCATGCATGTATTTGGTGAGGAGGGAGGCGGGGAAGCTGGAGGGGGTATGGACATTGGGAATATTATCTACGCTAGACTTGATGAGGTAGGAGCGGAGGAAGATGATGCTATCATGGATGGCACCAGAGCCTTTGGTTGGGGAGACGACATCCAACCGTCTATGGCAGGCTCATTGAGTTCCATTGTTAACAGTGACGAGGAGTTGTCTGGCAGCTACAACTGGGACTACTTACTGGACTGGGGGCCACAGTTCCAACCCCTGGCTCACGTCTTCGCTGAAATTGCTAAATTAAAAGACGATACGGTTGTAAAGAGGCAACTGGAGAGGCCACAGCAAAAACACAAACTTGTGAAACAGTACCCTCCTCCATTGCTGACTAATGTGGTTCAGGGACCCATCAAACCTGTTGCTCCTCTTGCCATGAACAATGGTCAGTCGACGCAGAACCCACAAACCTTGCCACGCTCGCCCATCGTCAACGAGAGCGCTTTCTCAGCTGTGGCCGTATCACCTGATCTGTCACCGTCTCTGTCACCCCTGGCACCGGGCTCCATGTCCATTTCTCCCATGGTCACATCGACAGGAGTCAGTTCAACCCAGTCATCAAGTCGAGGGAACTCTGGCTCAAGCACACCCCAGCGAGCGTCTAGAAACCCCAGACAAGTAGCCAGTATCCGCTTTGTGCCGTCGTTTACTGGCGATGAGGAGGAAATCCAAATTTGAACATTCCTAAAATGTTTGGCAAGTCTATCAGCTCAAGTACTATTTTTATCATATGATGTAAATATCTGTAAATATAGTTTTGCAAAACAAGTATTCTCCCTTTAGCTTCAAGTTTTCAGCCAAATGGATGTAATATGTAAATCATGCTTTTTACCACATGATTGCTACCTTTTGTACTGTATTTTTTATGTAATTTTTGCTGAGGACTGTGTAAATAGTTGTTTGTATGAATGAAGAGGCTGCAGCTTGACCAATTAATCCCAGCAGGATTGGACCCATTGTGGTGCTAGCTCTCTTGGTTAAAGATTCTTCTGGGAAATGGATGAGCACCTAGTACTTTTAAATTATTTTTAAATACGAGTGAAAATTGTTTATAGTAATGATAACAGTGTTATCAAAGGTGATAACCGAGTCAAATATCTATTCAACTCATTATAACTTTTTCTCTCTAACCTTCTGAAAACTTGTTGATTTTTATTGTAATATCACGACGTCTTATTATTGCCTGCAAGTCACAATGAAATAATTGTTCAACTATTAGCAGTTTAGTTTGTGTTCGGTATTGTGGGTTTTTGTTGATTTATTCAATTTAGTTCTTATTCTCTCTCTTGAACTCAATTATCACTCTTCCTAATGTGACTGCCGTGCGAATGGCAAATGATTGCACCATTATTTTGATTTAAATTAAATCAATTTTAAGTGTATTCCTCCCAAATCTAGCCAGGCTTCAGCTGTCGGCACTACTCTCATGTTTGAAATTGTTTGGAGGTTTTGACGAGGGTTCCATTACAAGAATCACTGAAGTGATATTTGCATTCAAGGTTTTTAATCATGTCCGAGATGAAAGGTCCCCTTCAATCACTAGCTGAGGTATCTTCAAATCCAGCGAATGTTAGTATACTACCTGACATACTGTAACAAAACGGGACAAATTAATCATGTAGTTATTTCATGCTTGTCAGGCAAGTTATTAGTATTGAATAAATATGGTATTCTGTTAAGAGCAAAGTGTTTGGATGGTGGACATAAAATTGTCAATTGGAAACAAATTCAAACATATTTTTATAAGCTTTGGTGTGATTTATACATATTTTGCTACCATTCCATATTTCAGTGTTTTTATCAATTTTTAAGAAGCTGAAGTATTCTCATAATTTTAAAACCAATACCAGCTAGATATTTGTATAGGTGACTTTTGGAATGAACTCTCAGTTCTCAATTATTTCAGGCTTGTGGGAAAGGCATTCATTTATTTTTAAGAAATTACATGTACATATATGTCAATTTTGAGAGGGCATTTTTTTACTCAAATGTTTACCCTTTTGAGTCCAGTATATGTGTGGGGCAACCTTTAAGTGTTAATGCCAACAAGAAAAAGGTGAGAATCCAGAATTTCAAAAGTCTTCCTGGTCAGATTTTTACTGGCCACCTTGTAATCATTCTCTTTGTAATAGCAACGCATGTAATAAAGTAATAGGAAGAGAAAAGGGCACCTCTGAAAACGCAGAACCGGAAATTGACATTCTGATGTACATGTAGTTATTAAACATGCTGTGTCAATATTTCCTCCACTGCGCAACTGCTTCTATCCCAGTTCAGCCAAACTATAATACTGTCACCTTGATAATACTCTTCCTTTTTTGAATCAAATAAATGTATGTACATTTAGTTACTATAGTTACCCGGCCCACCAACTATCTTGATTCATTTTGTATGGACAGTATTTTTTATCAACTAGTATGGTCAGTTTTCTGTAATGTACAGAAAGAACTTTTTCTATCCACGGGGCTGATTTATGATTTTGCTTTTTCTTTGTGTGTTAGTTTTGCATGCGAGATTTATTCCTTTTTAGCATTAGCAACCGTCATCTTTATTATTTTATTTCCATTAAATGTATTATAATATCGAATTGTATCATGGAGATTGGAGATACTGTCGAGAGAAGAGAATAAAAATTATCTCGACTAGATTATACATGTGCTGTCAATCCTGTTTTTATTATTTATTTCAGTAAATGTATTTGTTTACACATCCGTTAAAGGGGCATTTACACGGCGAACAACAAAAGGATTCCGTCCGATAAAAATTTTTAAGGAGGCTGGACCTTTTACACTGTAGGCGGGAAAAGCGCTAGACTGGTTCCCGCCCCGTACATAGTCTCCAGACTTCTTACAAATGTCCCACGAACCTACATATCAAATTTGACCCCCATAGTCTGTACGTGCATTTAGTTTGTATATTCGCGCATGCGCGATAATGACATATGGTCGTCGGCCTGAAAAATTATTCTAGCAGACGACTCGTATCGGTGGTGACCCATGTGAGAGATTTGTACTGCCATTTTCCTTGAAGACCCCGTGTATGAATAAATTGGCGAGAATCTATCAAACGGTGATATTTAATAGCTTCTGGTAAGAAAGATGTCCGGAAAATAACAAGTGAAAAATGTCAACTTTACGGCAAAAGATAGTTATAAAAAATTCTCGGTTTTTTACCTGATGTTGTCTAATTTTCACAATTGGACTGGGTTTACTTTCAAATAACCTAGATGTCACATGAAAGGCTAGTAACTTTTATGAACAAAACGTTTATTAGGCTTACTTCTAGGTAGAAACCTTTTTTGAAATTCACTTCGTTTTTCATAGGGACCCATTTTCGTCATTTTCCGTGTTTTTCACCTTACTTAAGTGCCCAATTTTCACACTTTTGTGGAATTCCCCTCAGGCCATCGGTGATACTATCTGGAAGACTGATGAATCATTTGTATTCATCAGTTCAATTCTGCAATGGCATACACGTACACGCACACCTACCTGGATACGAGTGCGTTTCTGTAAGAGTCGAAATTTGCTGCATTGCACTATTAAACATGTAAAAGGCACAAACAAAACTTTCCGTTCTCATTCATCATGCGGTTTCCTTCTTGCGTGATACTTTTTCATTGGAGCGTTCATCTTATTCCTCACCATTCACAAGACAAGTAGAGAAATGTCAGGGGAAACCCAGCAAAACTAAAAGAAAACCTCTAACTTTAAAATGTTGGCTTCACTTCCAACTTCTGACTCTGTTACTTTAGAGGTACGTGACGGAGACGTGCAAAAATTTGGCAGAAAATGGATTTTTATAGTGTGTAAGTAAGCAAAAGGGTCTTTGAGTGTTTTAAATACTAATCGGTATGGAAATAAGGGGCAAACAATTAACTATACCTGAGCTTGATGTTTATCGGTTACTTTTGGGGTCCACCTGCCTGCTGAGTCAAGAGCCATTTTACTGACTTGGGATTCAGGTTACATGCGCACATATTTCCACTCCCATGTCAACTCAATGGAATCTGGAACCCATCGACTGCAGGTAGGTAAATCTTTGCAACGTTGTGCAATCTCGTTTTCACTAAAGCACGGAGACTGAAAACAAACGTGCATGAACAAGGAGACCTAGGACGGTATCGTCCAATTCCAGGTGACTTCTTCTAATTATTAGTTAAGGAAGACAAAGGGAAAATCCCAACATGAGTGTTTCATGGGGTGGTTTCAGTCAGGAATCATTCTTCCAAAAATTGTACGTGATAGGAAGGCAGACCGCGCGAGGGTTCCGGAAGCTCGTTGCGTGACCTTTTACTTTCACTTCAGGCTCTATTGCGGGCTAGCTTCACACTGGTCAACGTAGTCAACTGAGAAAGGTGGATGGTATCCAACTTATCGCACAATTTGTTTTGTACCTTGCACAGAACGGAACCCTAATGATTTATTTCGCCCTCGCGCGCTTCAAATGAACGAAATTGTTCAAGATTTTATTTTGTTCTCCTGAAATTCCTCTCACACCTGAAAGTAACATCTAGACTGATTTAGAGGGTTTTAAAGACGACAGTGAAAAAGTGCAGAAGCTAAGAGAAAATGACGTTGAAATTTGTACCCCTGTACATTTTCAATGAGCTCAAGCTTTTTGCCTCCACACGCCATTTATGCGCATGCACACATATTTGAGAATTCATTGGTACCAATCGAAGGGTCTATTACACACGTTAAACTGCAGCTAGCCCTCAATAAGACCACAGGATAAGACATTGAGTTCTGGCCAATCAGCGGTCTCGTTTGAAATGACGTCATGGACTGACTGACATAGTTGAGCACTTCCTCCTCGCGCCTTCCATTCTGGAAGTTGTAACGCAACCAATTTGATGTCCACCTTGACTGTTAAATTAATGAAAATGTAAGAATCGATTTTTTAATTAGAATGCTGCTCCGACATAACGCTTTATATTCTGTATTACTATTCGAGAGCTTGTGAAAAAAGTTTACTACAGTGCAGACGTCTACCTGCGCTCGACAACTGAATTTACCTGTGGGTCAAGTTGGCTGGTTAGTCCAAATGAGCAGCGGATACTGCGACAAATAAGTTGAGCCAAACTCCAGATGTAAAAATTAACATCTCACGATGAAATCACATCTTATAAACAAATGCAAAATGTCACGCGGCATTATGACTTTTGGTATGCACTTTCAGTTACCACTCGTCCGTGTTAATTGAAGGGCCGTAATTCGGATGGGGAGACTGGGGAATTGTCCTAAACCGCGCCTTTGGTTAGCTTACAGCGTGTTTACACTGGATCCTGCAAGGGGATTCGATAAGCCATTTGCGAGTTAAATTTGAATAAAACCTGGTACACTGAGTTCTTTAAATTCACGTGAACATAACAACTTGAATTCTCCATACTAAAACAACTGTTGCTTAGTTACATAAGAGAATGGATAAGACCGGCACAAAGGAACCAATCCATTCCAGAGATGGTGGTCGTTATGCAAAAGCTTGCCCCGAATCACGAGGTATAACAACTGTGTCTTTAGTCTGGGGAATTCAAATTGTTAAGTTTGCAATCAGATAACACAGTGTACCAGATTTTACTCAAATTGAACTCGCAAGTGGCTTCTTGGGGCGGTTGACCGCAAAAAATGGAGCGTGATGTAGGCTATACTCTAACACCTGCGGTACCCCCTTTTCAGAATTGTTTGGTTTGGTTTGGTTTGGTTTGGTTTGTTCGGTTTGGTTCGGTTCGGTTCGGTTTGGTTTTGGTTTGTTTTTGTTTTTTTGCAGAGGGTGCGCGTCCCTAAGTATTTACAACAGCATAATCAAATAAACTTTTGTTCGTTTTTAATTGTGGTACACATGGGGGGATCTACACAAGAAATTTTTTTATATGTTCCTCCAAGTAAGCATACATATTCACAAGCACTTGTCTGTGTTCGCCTAAGTAAATTCAAATTAATGTGCTTCGTGCAGTGTATGTTAACTTGTCACCGTGTAAATTTCACCTGCTGGTCAACAACGCATTGTTACTCGTTCAACCATGACATTGAGCACATATCAAGGTGTCATTGGAAAGAAGACATGATTAAGGCCTTTCTGGAGACATATAATGCTTCATTAAGAAATCTGCAGTTTTCTATAAATTATGGTTGAATTTGGATTTCCGTTATTTTGATACACCTTGTAGAGGCCAAACTTTCTTCAAAGATGCCCCGTCGGTCAGCCAGGAAATGGTCACCCACAGGCGTTATTCATCGGGCACGTTGACGAGGTCAAGAGCCTTATCAGCGTTCTTTGTGCTGAGGAAATTAACAAGATGTTTCGCTTTCCTTACACTAGTTGCGATGTACGAGACCTAGACAAAAAATGCGTAAAAATCCATTCGCTTACCTTGATGGTAATATCTTTGTCTGTGAAGTCTCAATTGGGGTATAAGTTGTACATTTAAAGAGAATAACACGTAGACTGTTTTGTATGTGACATCTCGTCATTCTTTTTGTGATTGGCTTTCAACATTATGTACACTGCAGTTTACAAGTATTATATACACATTAAGTATTTTGGTCACATTTTGTTATTTTGAAAGCAGTCATTAACAAGGTACTCCATTTTCTGGAAAGGAGGTAATTGAAATATATTTTACATTTTAGATCAAACTAGCTAAGCAATATCTTTAATTACTTCGAATTAGTAGTAGCTTAAGCCATGAAAAAACAAGAACTCTCTCATATTACTGCCTGTTTTTTGGGGCGGTTAAAGTTTGCAGAAATCACCTTTGGTGATATATAGGATTTGCGATTTTTAGATATAATAAAGAAGAATTTAAATAAGGGTTATTGTTGATCTGCAAAACGATCAGATTCCGCGGTTGTGGTTTCAAATCAACGATCTTTAGTATTTCTTGAAGACCGTCCTTGTCGGGAAACCATCAATAGTCATTGTTTGAGCAATTTTCGTTGGCTTTTGTTGTTTAATTTCTACGTACTAGCTTGTGGGTTAAAGGATATGGAGTGTCTCTAGGAGTCTCCACATACCAGTATTCTGTCAAGTTAAAACTGAAGCAGACTTGTTTCAATTCAGAAAAACCCACAAGTTGTCAAAGCTCACGAAAAGTCGATCCATACGGACTTAGCAAAAACCGATTTAGGTTTCCGCGCGAGTTCAGTTTGCACTTTGTGTATGACCTTGGCAGATTTAGTCACAACACGGAGATCGTTGTGCACTAATTGTTCATCATCATTATTGTTCTTATTGCTGGTTGGTGAGAGTTTCTGGTCCCCCCTCGGCAGCTTAACTAACAGGTTTGTCTCATCGCGAATCAGAGACTGCTCCAACTTCCTGAACCTGGGGTCGAGGGTGACTTTAGCTTTGGTCTGCTGTCGTTGGAGGTAGTGCACAAATTCCCTCTCGCGCTTTTCGCGTTTAGCGTCAGACTGTGGGCCGTAGAGAGGCAGATCAATCCCGTGAAGTCGGGTGAAGATGTCTTTGTTGTTTGCATCCTCCAGGAAGGGATCTGACTTGACTGTTGTGACAGTCCGTCTACTGTCTCGTGTCTGGAGGTCATTCAGAAAAGGCGGAGCTTTACTCGTCTTATCTGCTTTGAGTTCTTCCTCAGTTACGCTGCGGCGCACTCTTCCAAACGGCCGGCGGGCTCGGACATCAGGCTCTGTCATTTTCATGACAATCTCCGGCAAGAAGGATGTGTGTGGGATACCCATTTCCCTTAATTCCGTCTCCTTGATAGCCTGCCGCAAAACGAAGCTCTGCTCTTGCCAGTCCAGAAGCCTCTGAGCGCGGTACCGATCGGTTCTAATACGCTTCAGTTTCTCCGTCAGGAGGCTGTCAGCGAACCGGTTGTCCTGGGCAAGAACTTTCTCGATAGCGCTTACGGGGAGAGCACCGTGCCATTTGGTGGACTTCTTACGGGGGGTTGCCCGCTGTGGATAGGCAAGCATCGGTGGCATCGGCATCATAGCTGTAAATCTTCGTTTTTCCGGTTCTGAAACAGATGGGAAAAATGATGAGCCCTGATGTGCAAAATAGACGTTGTTCCAGTCACACTAGATCTGCTACTTATGCTGTGATCAGTTCAGAAAAATTACGTGCTATTCGCCTGCTCTTTGAAAAAAATTCTTACTCTTTTCATATACACGTACCCTTTTCAAATCAAATTTACAGGGACAAACGTTCACATACTTAGTATAACCAGGACCTTTGCTATAAAAGAGTGGGAAACATAAAGAAAACATAAGAATTCAAGAAACTTTTGGAATTTTAAAATTTGCTCTGTACAACAGTATGTTGTTGTAACAGTGTTCTTTATTATATCGAGAGTCGACTGTATTTGAAGAAACTTATATTTTTTCCTTTCAGGCCATACCACTGTGTTTTATCATCCTAGCTGCATTCCTGCTATCAAACCCTGTCCAATTCATGTCTTTGTTAGTCGTTCTCCTATCTAAATAGCCGTATTTGTCTATCAATTGCCCGCCAACATATTTGGGCTACCGCGGCTTGTTGCTAAGCAAGTTATCATGGCTGCCACCATGTTTGTTCTTTGGATTATGGCTTCGCGATTTGGTGGGAAGATAAAACTCTGAAACCAACTAAACACTTGGGACTGATTCTTGCCTCCCATATACCTCCATGTTTCAAGTTGTAAATCCCACAGATGACGTTTAACAAGTCATTATACTGTCATATAAGTTCTATAGACCTACTATGAACGAAGTATAGTATGGCCTACATGATCAGACGGCTTTTTCCAAAGGAGAGAAATCCGCTCTCCATGACAGCTGACTTTTATTTACTTTTGGTCTGCTTTGGTTTTGTTTTTGATTCGTTGAGTATTCTGTAGTTACTCCCTTGTTTTGTTTCTGGGGTTTTTTTTGGGGGGGGTAGCTTCCTGTCTGAGTTTCTTCTATATTTCTATTTCATGAGATGGGGTTTTTCAAATGTGTAAACATTTTTAATAGTTTGGACATGAGCAGTAACAATTTCTTACCAATTCAGCATTTCAACCTTTGAATTTTCCAGTAGTGCTCAACAAAATTTATCATGTAACAACACATAGATGAATTTAATATTTTGAAGACAAGGAGTCTTCGAGCGCTATACCTAGTGTGTCTTACACATATGATTCTGCCTAACACGGCTGTCCACTGCTTTCTATAGTCATGTTAACATAAAAATAAAGTACTCACCTGTTTTTGATAAATTATAGTGGAACTGATGATTCAAGTCCCTCTTCTATAACGACATTACAGTACATCCACCTAAGTGCCGAATTCTGTTTCACTTTACTTGTCACGCAAAAATACTCAGAAACATGAAGGATGAAGGTCAGGCATTTTTGTTCTTGCTTTCTCTTTGTTAGATTGTCAAAGACAGCGTGCCTTCTTTCCTTTATCCTCTCCTAATTCCACTGTTACAGCAACTGATGCTTTTCACTCTTCGGTGTTGGCCCTGTAGTCTCCATGTTGTTGAACGAAGCATCGATCACAAATCAAAAGCGTCCATTTCCCTTCATTCGGTCCAATATTTCAGTCTGATCACTCGTTTATGCTCGGCTCTTGCAATGCCAACTGACCACACCGCTCATACATCCCATCAGGACTGTAATGTTTGTTGCGAGTAAATTCAATCAGGCACAGTGACGGAGCAACCGGTCAAACGATTGTTGCGAGAGTTTAACTCAAAGGAGGCACTCGAAAATGTTCCAAAAAGTGTCAGTCTAAATCTTATCGGCTGTTCGAATCGCGTAAACTACTCCCTTGTCACTAGCTACACACGACAACTCAAGAGCAGCGACCTGTTTTATGGTGTGTATTATCTGACTAATCCGTGGAAACAGTCTTGTTTGGTTTGGAAAAGTTTGAATACCGGTAGTGTACTAAGCGCAGTGGAATAAGTGGAAAGATAAACCAGCACTATTGAAAAGACAATCTATATGCGCTTTGAAACTTTGTCTCTCAAATCATTAGAATTACAATGCCTACATAATTTATGTTGCGAATGTTTAATAGGAACCCAGATTAAGTGATTCTTAATATGTGTAAAATGTCGGTGAAATAAGCTACATGTTTAAAGCGTTGTCTGTAGTTGGAAATCTAATTTGCAATTTGTGAGTTAGTGGAGAAGAAAAACAAAGACGCGTTTTCCCTTCGTTATTTAGCAAGCAAGATGAATTAAGTCAACAAAATCTTTTTTTACGTCATTCGTCCCATTCGCAAAATGACTCGTTATTTAAAATCCCTCGTTTAGGCCTAATAGCTCTAACTGGGAGACCCAGCCACTCACCAATCCCTCGCTCTAGAGCCACGCACCCAAGCTTAGCCTTTCATCCATTCACGTGCCATCTCTTGCAAGTTATACGGCTTTAGCTAACCATTCGCGACGCCCTCTACCAATTCATCATCAAGCCTTATCCGTCCAAGCCTCGCCATCCACTTAGTCTTAGCCATTTACCCAGTCCCTGGTCATGACCACCCAGCCCTAATCACTCGTTTTTATATACACATGTGCATTAATTGCAGGAACTCAACCAGTCCCAGCCACTTACACAGCACTAGCATAGCCACTTCACCAAGCCCTAGCCAGTTCGGTGAACAATCATAGTGGCGCTGATTGCAAGTCATAGTTCTCCACGATTGCATATTGTGCTGTGATAACGGGCTTGCCTACACATCCGCTCACCGATGACAAGGAAGATTGGCCGTGCTATAGAATGACATTAAAATTAAAGCAAAACCTGTCATATAAAATTAACATCTCCAAACGCAAAAATACATCTTGAAAATAGTTCGCGGTACCCGCTGCTTCATTTGACTCGGACCGGCCAGCCGACCCC